GGGGCTGGCCGCAGTTTTCCCCACCGCCTGCGCTGCTCAGGGGTGGGGAGCAGGTAGAGGAGTCAGAAGTGAATGAGAGCCTGAGAAAAGGGGGAGGGGAGAAGGTGTTTCCTTTTTTTGTGTTTCTTACCTTCCTACTCTATTTTTAATTGATAGTATGTTGACATGGACCTGCTGGAGCGGGTCCAGAGGAGGGCCACCAAAATGATCTGAGGGCTGGAGCCCCACTCCTACGAGGCCAGGCTGAGAGAGTTGGGGGTTGTCAGGCTGGAGAAGAGAAGGCTGCGGGGAGACCTTATTGCGGCCTTTCAGTACTTAAAGGGGGCCTACAGGAAGGATATGGGGACAATCTTTTTAGCAAGGCCTGTTGTGACAGGACAAGGAGTAATGGTTTTAAACTAAAGGAGGATAGCTTTAGACTCGATATAAGGAAGAAGTTTTTTACAGTGAGGGTGGTCAAGCACTGGCACAGGTTGCCCAGAGAGGCGGTGGAGGCCCCATCCCTGGCAACATTCAAGGTCAGGTTGGATGGGGCTGTGAGCAACCTGATGTAGTTAAATCTGTCCCTGCTCACTGCAGGGGGGTTGGGCTAGATGATCTCTAAAGGTCCCTTCCAACCCAAAGCATTCTATGATTCTGTGATCCTATGAGATTTCGCCTAAGTTGAGTCTGCTGTGCCCAGAATGGTAACTGGTAAGTGATATCCCTGCCTTTATCTCAACCCATTTTCTTTTTAGTCTTATTTTTCTCCCCTGTCCTGTTGAGGAGGGAGGAGGTGGCTGGATGGCTACCTGGCTATTGTCCAAGGTCAGCTCATGCCTTCTTTTCTTTTGGTAGGTCATTTAGAAAGGGGCCCTCTACTAACCATTACTATAGCGAAAGTAAGTATGTAGAAAAAATACACTCAGTTTCCATGCATATTCTCTAAATTCCCTTTAAAGTAGGACTGACTTCTACTTTCTACACTGATTCCTGTCTTTTACGTTAGAGGATCTTTGGAGGCTGGCTGCTGAGTTGCCAGAGTTGTGGCAGCTGAGCGATGGCAAAACCAGCTGGAATCCATCTGCCCAGATGCCCCGGTCCTGGGTCTTCCCACCTGGGAGTAGAGGACAACTGAACTTTCTGGTGTACAGGGCTGCAGCAGTGTGAGCATTTCACTCCTTTCTTCCCCTCAACTGCTGCCAAGTCAGCCCTACATAGCCCGCATGAATGCCTGTGTCCCCTTTATGCTATCACACCAAGATTGTCCTCATTTTTGGGGGGCTGAGAGATCAACAGTCATCAAAATGGCATTCTGCCACACGTGCTGCTTGTAGCTTGTAGCTTGAGCTTGTTGGAACAAGGTATTCACATTGTTTGGAAGGTCATGGTACAATCTGACACCAACAGTAATAGCAAGCAAGAAAATAATCACAGGCCCTTTGAGTCACTCAGACCCCAAAAACACGTCATAAAAGGTACTCTGTGTGTGTGTGTGTGTGTATTTTATATATACTTCTATATAAATTGAGTAAATAGAAGTTTTAAGGGAAAATAAACTGGAAAACTCTAAGATTCATTAAAATGTTTGTCATACGAGATAGGAGATGTTTAAATGATACCACAGAACTTGTGACTGATGTCACATCATAATAGTTTCAGTGATCTAATGGAAGATTTAAAATTGATCATGGATCACATGTAATTATGAAAACCTAAAAGGAAAGAAAAGTAGCATAAATGTGGGAGGAACCAAACTCAGAGAACCATGTTCAGTATGTATTGATTAGATTCAATCCCTCAGGACAGACTAAATTCCAGAATAACAAGTCTTATTTATGATCTACCAGTAAGCAAGAAGAATATGATTACATTCAAATAAATTATTCATGTCATTCCTGTGAATTGTTTTCTTTAAACAATCATTTGAAACTCAAATTAAAAAAAAAAAATGGTTATAATTATAGTCCTTTTAGTAAACTTGTTGCTTCTTTCTGATAAATGAGACACTACTGAGCTCTATAACAATCTAAATAAGCATTTATGGATGCATGCACTTATTTAGCTTCTCATTAATCATAAATTATTAGTGTTGGTTTTTTCAACTTTTGAACTGACAGAATGTAAACAGAAAACCAGTGTATTGCAGAAGTAACTTTTATATTTATTTTTAAATTATATTGACCACAATATTCTAGGTAGCTCAGAAAAATAGAGTCCCTCAAAATATGCTTACATGAAAATATAACTGTTCTATTAAGCATTTCCTGTATCCTGTGTAGTTAGCAACATGGACAGAACAGATTCTAAAACCTCAAACAGAGTAAGATATGTGGATTAATGCATTCTGATTTTTTTTTACCCAGGAAATTTTCTGTGAAACTGGAAGAGGAAAATTCAGTGTTCTACTTTTCCAATACTTATTCCATATCTCATATTGGAAGTGATTAAAATATTATTTTAGCATTTATGGAAGACAGTACAACTGTCAGAAATTCTAGATATTTAGCCAGTGATTTCTATTTATCTAACTGCTTGAATTATCTTGTAACTCTCATAGCAAACAAATGCCCTTGTTCAGTACCTTTAGATATTTTATGCATTATAAATTTGTGCCTTTAATCCTTTGTTCTAATTTCCAATTGATGTTACTTCAGAAAGAAGAATGGCAACCTGAATCTGACTTTTGTAATACAACGTGAATGTCATACCTGTAGGACTCAATCAGTTAAGACAAGCTGGCACTTCTCCCACGTTCTATTCAAATGTGCTAAAACGATTGCACTGAGGTACTACTGCTACCATTTTAAAGGATTTATTATTGGCTGACTGTGCTCTGGGACATGCTGTGCTGTAATAGGAAACCATTTTTTTTTAACAGTTCTAATAAGCAGCTGCCTATTAGGAACTAGATATGAAGCACTGCAGTCATTTCACTTAAATTGAAGTACATATTCTGTAGCCTCTAAGAGGCAAAACAAAATATTGTGTTACCAGTTCAAAAAATGTATGTGATTCTATGATTTTCTTTTCAAAAGTTTTTGGTGCAGTAATAAAAGATAAGCCTAACAATCGCAAAAAAATAGAAGATGTGCATGTAGATGTTTGTAATCACCACCAGCATGGATTGAAATACATCTGAATTTTGCTATTTGAGAGTTACTGAAAATACAGATCAAACTTCTTAGTACTCTGCCAGCTACTAGGAAGAAAATTAACTCTATCCCAGCCAAAACCAGGACATAGCTACATGTAACATTTTACTTGGTGAAGATAACAGCAAAACTAATTATGACCATGTCTCTTGGACATGTCTAGTCAGGATTTAACAGTAGTGCAGGGTTAGGTAAAGAAAAGTGGTAATTCACACACTGATGCTGTTGTAATATATTGATATTCCACTCTAAACCTCACCTACAAAGCTACTTTGCTTTCATTTTTAACATTTCAAAAGCTATTTTGGACATGATTTCTCCCAAGCAACAGGCAAGAATGATCTATGATTGAGTGCCATAGCAAAACTGGATAGTGGAAAGTGTTTATCAAAGGCATACCTGTCCAGCTCTTGCATTTTCACAGACAAAAGTATCATAGAATACAGCAAACTGTGGGGCATTGTCATTAACATCCAAAATTCTTACGTAGACGGGTACACGAGTAGTATCTTTGGGGTTGTCTGACAGGAGAAGAAAGAAGAATGATGAGTTTATTTTCCTACTAAAATTTTTCTGTTTTCTTCCAAATTTCATGAGCAAGAGACATGCAAGATTAGGTATGAAACTGGTCAAAATTTAGCATACTAACTGATACCAGGCTAGAATCATGCCTCCTGAAAAATAAGGAGATGTTTTGCTTAGAGTAAAAAATAAATTAAAATCCTGGTATCCAGTGACTAATTAAGCTTTTACATGAAAATAGGGGCTGCAACTGTTAATAATCTATGCAAATACAGTATATTAAAAGTATGCCCATTATTATCATGACAAATTTGATTATTTGGTGGTTTCAAGAGTATTATTCTGCTGTAAGGTTTTGATTTTTATTTTTAAAATGATTTGTGATCGGTTTTATTTTACACAGAAAAGACATTATTGACTTTGTGCATACAGATTTTGAAATATTTTCAAGCCTGACTTTCCTCTCTTGTGCCTTAATTAATAGGGAGAAATTCCAACAAAGCCAATGAAAGTATCCCCCAAAAAATCAGGTAAAGAATTTATTAGAATCAGATTATGTTTAAATTGCCTTAAAAAAAAAGAATGTAGATTTTCAGACCTTAGGTTACAAAACAAGAACAGTAACCTCCCCCTTGCCAAATGTCAAACCCCTAGTATTATTTAGAGTTTCCTATCATTAATTATAGGTTAATGCAGGAAGAATACAAGTGTCCCTGTTCCCACTTGCTGATCTAGTTGCCATACCAAGAATCTGAAATAATGCCTGGAAATAAAAAAATGCAGCTATTTCTTGTAATTCTGCTGGCTGGTAGCTAATACTATATGATTTTGCAATTTTAATGGAATAGGATAAGTAACAGTAGAGATGATTCAAAATTACTGATTTTTTTTTCCCCTTTTAAGCTGCTTCAAATAAAACAGTAAATATTTAGGAGTAGCTAGCATTAATTTAACATGTTATTAATAACACCTTTGCTAAAGAGTGTGATGTAGATCTTTTTGATGTCCTGAGTTATTTAAAGTGGCAGATTTTGGGCACTGTTTTTCATAGCCTTTTGCATTTTGTACTAACTTTCCAAATTAGTTCTAGTCTTAACACTGCTGTCCCATTGTGTCATGCTTCACAGGTAGTATTTTTAAAGATTAAAGACCTAAATCAAATCTCTGCCTTCAGTTCTTTCTCCAAAACTGATGTACCTCTTTGGAGAATGCTAGCTACTCCAACTAGGTCCAGAATGTAAATTTGCTCAAAGTATCCTGACAAGGAAATAAGTTTAGCACTATGATATAAGCATACAAGGATACTAAGTTTTTTCATTATATAAATACTTCTGAAAAGTATTCTTACAACATTGGACAGCACTGTGAAGGATTGTAAGCTCAGGACCATGCATCGCAAAGGAAAAAAAAAAGGTTTAAAAAAAAAAAGTACAGCTACTGTGTGTGCTCAATACAACCAGCCTATTGCTCTGGACTGCAGAAATGGGGACAGGCAGGCTAAGAGTGGTTAATTGGCTAGACATGATGTTCCATTTAGTTCTCTGCAGTGTAGCTCTTGCCAGCCATGCTTCACTGCTGATTAGCAATTTTTTTTTTTTTTGACTGTTGTAGAATTAACCCTAAAAAACCAGTGTCTGAAAGCAAGTGATCCTCATTAGCTGATTTCAAAGATCAGACCTTTGTCCCTTAGAACATTTTTTGTCAGGCAATTAATCTCAATATTGTAGCAGATTTAGGAGGATCTCTGCTTTCTTCTTTGTATTTTTAACATGAAAATATCTACAGAGAGCTTATTTAAATAGTCCAGGAAATGCTACAGCTTAGGGATCAAACTGCACCTAACTTGTAATCTGTATTGATTCCAAGAGCTGTAGGTGTAGATACCATAGGAAGAGGTAAATGAAATTATTTCTAAGGAAATGAAGAAAATGATAGACACAAAAACTTAATTACCATCCTGAACTCTGCTTACTTTAACAGCAAAATCATGTCATTGTCCTCAAAGAAAAGGAAGAAAACAGAATTACTCCTGTGTTATTATTTAATTGGGTCACACTTCAGAAGTAACTTGGACATTAAAGGTCAGTGGTGGAAGTAGGGGAAGAAAAAAGCAATGAGGAGACAGCTGCTTTTAGCTGCCTCCAATTTACTTTCCCAGAATATCTAATAGAAGGGGGTGGGGAGGGTGGGGGCGGGAAGGAAGGGAACTTTTTTCTCACGAAGTCACAGCTGTAACTTTACAGGCTAAGGAAATCTGAAAGGAAAAAGACATAGAATTGGCTTACTGATTTCAGCTGCTATAACGCTAAGATTGTGCCATTGTGATATCTCACGGTCAAGTGGCTTAGAAGTATAGATGGACCCATTTCCAGAATGAATATTAAATATCCTGTCAAGGTCAGTGTGACGATCCAGAGAAAACCTAAATATGAAAAAGAAAGAACAAGTATTGTCAAAATGATAAAAAATGGAAGAAAGCATATGTTTCACAACAAGTCAATATAACCTTTAGGTTCTATACGTTACATTACAAAGGTTAGTTTTGAGAAGACACGTATTTAGTTTCTGGAAACAGTTACGAAAATTCTTAAGGTTAGTTCTGTAGAATGAGGAACAAAAATTGCAAGAATTTCATAAATATGATGCAATGGTGTAAAATTTGATCATCTGAGCTTTTATAAACATGTATGAGAATCATAAAAAATAAATCAGAATTTAAATATAGTAATTAAAGAATTGTTTTAATCCTGAAAGGAAAAGTGTCTTTGATGTACTCTTCCTTCAGACTGAGACTGACAGCTAATTTATGAGCTTTTCAAAAGTATGTTTATAAGCTTGGCTCTACACTTTAGGATATATTGATTTACTAGAGATCAAGTTAAAAAAAATCTCTGTAAAAATAAGTTCACCTGCAGAACTTTCACTTTCATGAATATACTGATGTCAAAGGACCTTCTGTGTTGCTATAGTTGCTATACTTCTGCAGGCAAAACTTCTACTAACACAGTATGGCAGAATGTCAACCTAGAATCAGAAAAATTGCTCTTTCCTCCATTTTTTCTAATATTTAACACTGCCTTCAAAGTTAGGATTGAACCTTTGATGTGGAATTAAATGTAAGATTTTACGAAGTACTGAACATTTATCTAACTACCTGGCAGAATTGGGCCAAATTAAGTCTGCTAGTACACTTGTACAGTACAGTAGAAACAATTGTTCATGTTTCTATGAACTTTTATGAGTCATCTAAACAGTTCATCAAGTGTATCTGTTTTTACTTACTGTACTTAACTAAATTGAGCCAAATGAAAAAATGCTGTAATATGGAAATTATGTCTGTAACATTTTGGTAGGATTTGTTTGCTCACTCCACCACACACAATAACACAAATATGTAAAACAAACAAACCCCCAACAAACAAGATGACACCAAAGTGACTACAAAAGCAAAACAAAAGGAAATTAGAACAGCCAAAAAAGACTTCTGAAAGTGCTGGAAAGAGTTGCTCAAAATTTTTTTTTTACTACTAGCTGACTATAATAACTGTTAGTTAAAATTAAACAAAAACATGCTATTTTCAGAGAGATCATATTTAAGACTGTTTGGCTTATACGATAAACATTTGATTTTACTTCATCCATGGAAGGAGTTTTAATGATGAAAAGAACTTATTTTGACAGCACTCTAGCTAATTTCAATAGGCAATAATCACTTCTCTAGCTAATGAGATTTATTCCACATTGTTTCATTAAAAATTCTATACCATTTGATAATAGCCATGAGATAAGCACATACTTTTACCCCATCATATTGCTTTTAATGGCCTGCAAATGCTACCAAAATTATTATTTTCAGAAAATATCTCCATATTCATTGAACAGAAATAGAAATTAGTGCAACAGGAATCAATTGGCACTCAATTTATAGGAACCCTAACATATAGAATTTTAATAAACAGAAACTAATATTTTAAAATAAACAGATAAACAGAAAAAAAAACCAAAACCAAAACCTGAATCAATTCTACAACCTGAAGCTGTAATATTTTTTCTTAATATCAGTATTAAAGTATTATACAAACTGCCCTAATTTCAAAATATGACAACTTTCAAAACACTTTAATTTAAATGCTAGCTTTTCAGTTCCGGGGTAAACACACAGTACTTTGTATTTAATATTGATATTATAAGAAGAAAAAACTAGTAAAAATTTATCCTAGGTAATTAATGTTTGAATGAATATACAAGGTTGCTTTGGAAGTTGAGGAACAGAGCAAATTAAAGATAATTCAATCTACGCTATGCAAATTGTTTTAAAGTTCTTGTCTTCAGCTAGATAGCATTAAATGAAAGCTAAAAGAAATGACTGTACTATGAAGAGCATTATCACATATATCTTCAATTTTTTTCTTCAAACGAACTAAATCTAGATTCAATAGTCCCTTTCAATTTTTTAGACATTTCTTTGCCCTTATTACTACTGGTTTGCTCCACTCTGTTAGATTATTTTCTATGGGAGAATGAAACAAACATCAACAGGACATAGAAAAATTATATAAAATAATCTTTAGGTTGCTACTCTGTGTAAATAATACTGAAGAGGGAAATACCTGCCACATTTCTTCAATTCATCAAGTTGTGTCAGAAACAAAACGAGCAGAAGTTCCAAGTTTGTTCTTTTTCCAGTCACAATTAAGAAAATATAACTACTAAAATCATCAGTTGTCTCATGCAATTAGAGTAGATAAAGATGCAATGCTAAGTTTTTAATACATTCTTAAATTTTAGAGGCTTGGTGTTATCTCCTGTCTTTTGCATACACACGAATCACCGTAGGAGAAAATTAGATTCCGTTTCATTTCCTAATCCAGTTTTACCACCTGGGCATCATTAAGAAGTATGTGGCAATTGATTTCAAAGTCAGTAAATAAGGTTCTTTTGCCAGAATGTAATTTTTGTACTTTGTTCGGTATTTCAGACAACACACATCCAACTTGGACAGCGTTGTCTTACCTGTTTCTTAAAGCTTATGCCTTACAGAAAACCAAACAAAAAACCCCACCCCAAAATATATATGTGTATATATATATACATTCAGCTAGATGTGATATAGCATGTAGCATCTAGTAGTATACATAGAAGTGATTTTTAAAGATATTAATCTTTCAGTGTCTAATTTCTTGGGGTATTTGAGCACACATAAAGATAATTTTATTCTGTATAGCAGTCACTCTGGCAAGCCTGCAAAGCAGGAGGCACCATCCAGAGCAGGTTAGATCTGCACTGCCTGCTTTCCAGGACTGAACAGAGGAAGCATTACAAAGCTCTGTTCCTTTCCTGGGCCATAGACTGGTTTGGCACTTTTTCACAGTGTGAAGCAAATAATCCTGAAGAGTCTACTTGAAATCAATGTGTGATTTTATAAGTTTTCTGAGGTTTGAAGTAGTAGAAAATATTTCCTGTGTCTCTTGTGTACAAGTGAATGGCTGTTCTCTGAGGTGTTCAGAGGCTTATGGATAGCATCATTCTCAATTCTGTCTATCTCTGGGACACTAATAAATAAGAGTAAAAAGCATTAGCATCTTCTTCCTGTGTACAGTATGTATGTGAAAATTCATGTTCTATTACTATTTCTCTTAATTTCTTTAGCAAACGATGTGTTTACAGAGACTGGGGCATTACCTTATCGGACTTGAGGCCGAATCAGGATCCCGTGCCATTACTGTTCCTATTATTGTCCCCAATTCAATATCTTCATGCACTTCAAAAAGGTAAGAAGATCTGCTGAAGACGGGAGGTTCATCTACATCTTCTACAGAGATTTTCACAATAGTTGTATCTTTGAAAGGCCCAAGATAATAGAAGCGTGGATCCACATGAGTATTCTCAGCTTCTACTTTCAAGGTATAAAGTCGTCTTGTCTCATAGTCCAGTGGCTAAAAATGAGGATGATGATAAAGTTTATTAAATTACATTACATGCTGACAGATGTGGATCTATACACATAATGGAAACTGAAGAGGACTCAAGCCTTGTCAGACCTTGCCCTGGGTTGGGGGAACCCCAATACAGTTCAGATTTTCCACAGCATATGGATCACTTGCTCTAGTAAGAAATTTCCATTGGTTTTAGAGGACGTTTCTCTTCCTAAATATTATTTGAATTACTGTAGCACCAATGACAAAAAGATTTTCAGTGCAAATTTACCAATTATTTAGTGAATTTTGCAGCTGTTTCACAAGAATATGCATTTGAAACAATCGTATAAGCATTTAAAATACTTGAAATACAGACTTGAAATACTGACATTTCAGAACAAGGAACTTAATACTAGCATTTCTCAGGAAATACTATAAAATCTTGGATATTCAAAATGGCCTGAGTATCCTTATTGTCAAACAAATGTAGCTGGCCTTAAATATTAGGAATGTTTTAGGTTTCTTTTAAGGAGGGTGTGTGTGTCAAAGTTCTCTATATCTAGAGAAACAGTAAGAGCTTAATCTTGTTCCTTTTCATTTAATTTAATGAATCCAACATCAGAGATTTTTTTTGCAAAATAGATTTGACATTTTTGTCAGCAGTTCCTTTTTCAAATGGAATGAGGAAAGGTTCAGGTTTATAATTAGAAACCACTTTGGATAGAAAAGAACCTCTATTCCTTCAAATTTTTCTAACTGTCTAGATGAAAAGTGTTAGCTAATTAATGATACTGAGGAAATGAACCAAGCTGAGGATTTACCTTTCTGACACAAAGAAGACTTCATTAACTCCCCTAAAATCTCAGGGACATATCAAAATGGGTGGTAGAAGACTTGTTTTTTCTGGCTGCTTTTAAATACAAATTAATATTCATGAAAGTTGCCAGAGTGACAGCCTAGAAATTTAAATATTCTATTTCAGAGCAGAAGTATGCAGTCCAGTGAAAGAATGTGTTTCCTCGCTGCCCCAAACTTGTTTTAAAGAAGTAGAGCAGGAGGGAGAATATCTGTGAATATAATTGAGAAATGCAACACAGTGCTGCTATTTAAGCTAGATCTGAGACGATTGGTGTGTCTGCAAAGTGCAGCATGCTGCTGTTAAGGGATGCTGGCTTCAAGCCTAGAAGCAAAAAAGCCATGTTAGTTCTGCTTTATTCTAATTAGCTGGCTTAATTTGCCAGAAGGCACACCATGCAGATGTAGTTAACTTGCTACTAGTACATTCACATCCAGTTTGGACATCTCTTCAGGCTATGCTGCAAAATACGGATATAAAACATGTGGATTATACAGGTATTCCAACATATCACCAATAATGAACAAAACTGTTGCTCAAAATTGTGGCAAAGCAATTGTTTTGTCTGTGAGAACCAGTATAGAGAAACTTGTATAGAAAAAGTTCTTTTTCAGCAGGTATTAAATTCAGACTTAGTAATTTAAGGGCTCAGTAAAAGAACATCACCTATTTGTAGTTATTCACCATTGAAAACAGCAAAGACAATCAACATGGCTAAATAATAATTAAAAAAAAGAATATTTTCATAAATGAACAAACTGAACATTTCTTCTTCCTTGCTAGTTAATGCTGTTGTCTGTGCTATCCAAATAAGCTACTTATTTATCAATTTGAGAAAGGATCCTGGAAACTGCAAAATGTGTCAGATTGTTAATGACAAAATGAGAAGATCTTGTTCATTAGTATTTATTGGTGACATTTTTGGAGCTGCTGTGTTATAACTTATGAATTTTTTATGCTTGATCCAGTTATTAGGCTGTTTTTTCAACACTGTATTGATTTAATACAACAGCAGTCTGTGTGAACAATCTGAAGCAAGCAAGAAAGGAACATCTCAAAAGAAGCCTTCACAAACTTCTAGGAAAAGAAAAAACATTGGGCTCCAAACTTTGTATTTTCAGTCCTTCCTATGTAAACTACAATGCTGACTATGAGCATAGAAGAGCATAGAGATTAAAAAGGAACACACTGATCTTCACAAAACTTACCTTTTCCTTGGTTGCCACTATCAAGAGGTGTGGAGATATATTTCATAGTAGTGTTTAATTTATTATTCTATGCTTAAGGAGATTTGTTTTAAAAGCTAATATAAATAGTGCGTTATGTTAGAAATGCTTCCTGAAGTCTTTAGAAACACATCTCAAAATCCCAAAGAAAAGGACTGAGGGACTTCTGCAAGGGAAATTGTTGAGGAGCAGGAGAATGGCATTTCAAAGTGTGAGATCTTACACCTCTGAAAGTGCTCTGAGATGCAAGACAGAGGGCAGAACTAAAACTAGCTCTGAGACAGGAACACCATCATTATTCACTGCTCATGTGTTAACCAGCTGACATGTTGGAAACAGGAACAAAACAATATAGCTTGCGACTCAGCTTCTGTGACTGTGTGTGTGTTCTGGCATACACTGGTCACCTAAGTTGATGAGAACCTCCTAGATCAGAAAAACCTATGTCTCCCAGTAGAGAGCGAATTGTGTATTGCTTGCTGAAGGAAATAGGTTACATGAATGCTAAAGAAGTCTGTATTTGAAATCACAGAGATAATTAGTACTAACACATTGGGGATGGTCCATTTTTTACATACTTTGCTGGCAATAATGCTTTAAACCTGTGCTATGTCTCAGATATTGTTACCACCTGTTATTTCCAGCTCATCTTAAAAGGAAATAATACTGTTCAGTCACTGATGGGGGATGCTTGCAAGTGTTAAGCAGTTAGAACTGCATCATATGATCTAAGCACTTTTTTCCAATGAACATTCGTGGCATAACGTTGACACCAAAATCATTTAGTGAATGTTGTTAATAGACACCTTTCGCACAGTTATGATGCCTTCCTGTGTGTCCTTCTGTGTCACAATATCAAACATATCTGTCCCATCACCATCTATAATTCTGTACTCTACTTCTGCATTTTTTCCAGTGTCTGCATCTGTGGCTTTGACGCTGCCTATGGCTGTCCCAACGGGAGAGGACTCGGGAATGCGGAGGTGGATGGTACCTGTCAAAGAGACAAAGAGCCACTCAGGAGCCCCACAAGCCATTATACATGCATTAAGTAACATTATGTCACACAATAGCTGATTACATAATTTTGTGTATCTTTTATTCTAGAGAACTTGCCATTTAATACTGTGAGGATGGGCAAAATACGAGGCAGAGAACTATGCAGGGGAAAACTTTAGGTAGAAGATTGAAAACAAAATCATAGAAGAACAAAATCATAGAAAAACAGGATTGAAAAGGACCTCTATTCTCCTATCTCAAGGAAGAATCAACTATGTCTGTACTATTCTTGTCTATGTCATTCCTGAAACATCCCCTGGAAAGACTACTCTCTTTTCTTTTCAGGCTTCACTCTGCTTTTTTTCCCTTAATACCTAAGGTGAATCTTTTGGGATACATTTTACATCTATTTTATCATGGAAGCAATACAAAGAAGAGAATCCTTGGACTTCGCTGGCCAATTCTAAGCACGGCTTTCAAAATTAGATAGTCAGATACAATATTAAATAAATTTGAATGACATCTTAATTCAGGGATAGGTTTTTGAAAATCCACAAGCAGGAGGTGTGCCTACACTTGTTAAATCAGTTAATTCATACTTAGATAAGGCTTATGAACACTGCAATTTTGGTTTTGTGCTACTTCTCCCAGCTTACTTGGTATCCCTTTATTGTGGTGTCATACAGCTGATAAAAAACGTAGGAATAAAACTGTCATTGTTCAGACATGCTGCAATAAATTGAAATAAATATCTTACCATACATTTTAGTATTCTATGTCCTAGCCTCACTGTGAAAACTGTAAATAAGGGTTGAGCTCTCTGGTCCCATCTGTCAGAACATATGGTAGGAAAACATGTGGGACACATAATGGACTATGAAGAATTCTCAGAAAAAGATTTTTAAATGAATGCAGATACAGCTGTCATTCCAAAGATGAAAGTTAAGTCGTCAAAGCTCTATTGAAAAACACTTTCTTCTCTGGCTTTAGTTAAGTGTTCCAAGACTTGCTGTTTTACTTAGAGACTTTCTAAGGTAAGTAAAAGGAGTTAGAAAGATAGTTGTGGTGGCAAAGGCCAGCAACCACAACAGGGAAAAGTTAAACAGGCTACCCAAAAGGCAGCACATATATACTTCATTACAAATAAGAAATGCAGAAAAGTCCATAAAGGAAGTTATTAGTTTTGCGCAACCAGGAAGAGTCCTGGGGAGAGGCCAATGGCAAGGCAGTACGGTAAGGCCACTGGCAACATAATCTTATCATATCTTCAAGAAAGCACAGGTGGGTCATGTGAAGATTATCAGTGTCTCTTGATAGACTATATTACAAGCAAGCTACAGAGTGACGAACTGGTTTTGGTTTTGGGAACACTCACTGAAAAAAAACCCTAGTATTCATTGGGATTTTTGAGACTTTCTCCCATTCTACAGAACTAGTTTTTTTCTGTTCCATTATGTTATAGTTTGCCAAACCTAAAAAAACATAGCAGCAAAAATTCAAAAAAATTAATACATTCACATATAGTTTGTAATTAAATGTTGAATGAAAAATATTGAAATTTAGCTTCATACAATTTTACTTCTGCAGCTTTTGATATGAAACTGATACACAGCAACAGAATTAATACTTTATGGCAATATACACTCCCCATTCTATTTATATGAATTTATTTTTACTCAGTTACATTTTGGTGTTTCACTTGAGTGATTTATGTTGCATTTGGTCTGTCATTTTCATTACCTTTCTCTAATACCTAAATCTGTGTACATTGCTACGTTAGTATATAATCCCTTTGTAATCGCCTAATGGTTAAAAAAACAGAAGAAAAAATAGCCTGTGCTCCCATTTAGTATTTATTCAGTACTGTGTGAGACTATGGTGAAAGACCACTTCTTTTCCCCAATTAATATTTATATATTATCATTAGTTTTATGGTGTTTCAACTATTCCGCACTTTTTTTTCTGGAGTGCTTAATACTATATCCCCAAGCTATGCCTTGTGGACACTACTTTGACTCCTGCTGCAATACCCAACACATTAATTTAGTCTACAAAGTGGTAAGAGCTCATATCTTGAATTGCTAATAAGGTAGTGGAAATAGAGTGAAAATAACCAGAACCTATGATCTGAAAGATAATTTTACATCAAACCTATCCATTTATAGAAATCTCCGCTATAGTACGAGACACTTTGTTTTATTTTTTTTGTCACTGAAGACGTTTAATGCTTTGACTAAGTATGGGTTGCAGTGCAGCTTTAGACACTGTATCAGAACACAAGCTGCACCAAACTAGAATTATTCTTGCAAGACTCCGCTGTTAATCCTTTTCCTCTCACTTCTCTTCTTCCTCAAGGAGAGTAATTTAGTGTTTGCATTTAGTCCAGTGAGTGATGTTCTTTCATTTGTCTGTGAGGAATACAAATGGGAGGATCAAGGAAAGTAAAAGCTTTTCCATATACTAAGGAGACTGGAAATCAGCTGGAAGATTAAAGTCTGCACACTTGTGTCTGGAAATACTTCAGTCAGTCATAAAGAATGAAAAAGCAATCTTATTCATGTTTACCCTTCTTCCCATTTACTCTTGAATACACACATAATGTAAAGGTAAATATTTTTATAGAGTAATACAGGCTGTAGTCTCACAGGAGACATGGGCTGCCATAACTCAGATGCACTGAGTTTCAGTCAGACTCAGGCTCCTAAGTCCATAAATCAATTTTTCCATTTATCATTGGTCAACACCATCTCCTTACTTCTGAGAACACTTGGAAAGATTACAGTTGAAACAGAGATCCAACATCTGAGATCTTTGATGGCCTTTCTGTGCAGAACCTTGATAACATTTTAAATTTTATCATGTTTCCCCAGAAGAACAGCCACTGCTACCTATATGGTTTTCAGGAGATCTTTAAGAAGAGAAAAGTATTCTGAAGAGTCCTTGCTCTGTAATCTAAACAACAGAGGAATTAATGGCTCTTTTGGGGTTTTTTGAGAGAAAGTATGATAAAATACAATATGTAGAATTTTCCACAATTCTAATATGAGTTTCTTGTGGGAGCAGTTTAATATGTTATGAGACATTTTATTGAAACATGTAGCTGTAAGATGCTATTGAGTCCTGTGAAAACATAATAGACCTTTTAATATTTTTCCTGGTAATTTATAAATCTGATATGAATATGATTGTCTCACAAACATAACACACATCTTTTTTTTTTTTATTAATGGAACAGAATAAGAATAATTTAACTTAATCAGTGTAAATTCCAATAGTCTCATTGAACTCTGTTAAAATCGGGAATTGTTATAAAGTCTATTTGCATTTTGAGATTAAATATAAAGATTTTTTAAAAAGTCAATAGCTATTTTTACTTTCATATATCTAGTAAAATGAGTAAGCTTTATAAATGTTTTAGTTTTCATTTCCAGTGAAGCATACCTTATATCTAGCAAAGCTATTGGCAGAGAGAAGGTAGAGAAAACCAAACCAAAACAACAACAAAAAAGCCCCCATAAGAGTAGAACTAAAAGTTTCTTTACAGCAAAGGTCACATCTGATTGACACTGACATTAGTAGAAAAATGCATAGATATTTCTGGGATGCTACATCAGATCCTCAGTTGACTCAAATGTGATGTTGGACTGCCAGATAAGTCATGTAAAAATGGTCTAGAAAGTTGATTTCATCATTCAAAGTATTAATTTAACACACTGTTTAAGAAACAGGGAAAAAAAAAAGCATAAATGTGCGTGTTTGATGCTTATATGCTGTTGTAAATTTAACTGTTGAAATTAGCTTTTCTGTAAAGCTTTGAACATGACACCTCTTTGAATAGTCTTCCTCAATAGATCCAGAGAGGAGTAATACAGCATTCCTCACCTACACAGCACTGGAATTACCATAATCCTCTATATACAAATGGAAAGAAGAAACATAAGAAATCAAAAAGTTGTGGAAATACAAAGAACATAAAATGACAACTTAACAATAAATTCTGTCCAGAATAGGGCCTGTGTGGAAATGCACAAACTGTAAGTGCTCAATTGTTCATGATTTTTCTATTTGGAGTGTATATATGAAATCAGATGATGATAAACATCTTAGCTAAACACATATATATTAACTACAATATTAAATTGAACAAAACTATGTACTGTGTGTGTACTGTAAAGAGCATGTTAAAATCAGAATCATTTGAAGCTGAATCTGTTATTTTGAGCTTGAAGGCTGATCATCAGTAACTACTGGATTCAGTAGTTATACAGAAGGAAAAATGGGTGGTGAGGATACTCTAAATCCTTTAGCTATTAAGTATGTCCAAACCATCTTGCACATATTACAACTTCAGTATATGCAAAATGCTTCAAATGTATTTAAAATGCTTAACCTTTAACAAGTTTGATGTTACATAGTTTAATATCTCCATGTTACATAGAGACCAAGAATTTTTTTATATTTTAGTTCGAGGATACAAAGTCTTGATAGCTGTACTATCAGAAGTTAAAAAGCATTATAAAAGGCTTTGGTAAACTTAAGCTGTAAAAAATAAGGTTAAATGTCATTTACTTTGGGAAATTTGCTATTAGGTTTTGTAGTGCTGTAACTGGAAAAGTACAAATCTGCTTGATTCCCTTCAAGTAATTTCTTTCCATGTTCTTCATGATTAAATATTTAAGCAGATACTACAATTCAAACATTTCTGCATATCTAGAATTAGTACATGTTTTATTTGCCAGTGAGGAGTAGGTAGGATTTAAGCAATAGGTAAGGGAAAAGAAGAACATTGCTCTAATGCTCTTATGAGTCCACCTACCACCCCCTCCCACAGTACTGGAAAGTATTCCAGGTTTGCTGTAGATATATTTGACCATGTAACTGTTTTCCTAACAAACAAATGCTGTAACATTTAATATACTGCTTTAATAATGGTGAATAAATCAGTACATAAGCCTTTTGTTCGTGTGTGCCCCATAATCTAGATTTACTCTAAATTAAACCAGATGGTGATTGCTTAACTCTTCAGTTTGAAGCTCTTTGAAGCACTCTCTAAAGTGCAAGGCAACTATTAAATGCAGCTTACTCTGGGCGAATCGAGGTGGATTGTCATTGACATCAGTCAAAGTGATGTTCACGGTGGTGGTCCCTGATAATCCACCCATCTGGCCTCCCATGTCCTTTGCCTGGATAACTACTTGGTACTGCTCCCTGTTCTCTCTATTCATGTTTGGCAAAGCAGTCCTGATGATGCCTTAAATAAAGAAGGAAAAAACAAAAAATCATTAATAATCTCTTTATTTTTGATGTGCAGCAATCTGCTGCATATTTTTTGTATTTGTGAAATATATTTCTAAAATATTCATTTCATGGTTTAAGTACAAATTTCTGTTTATATGCTTTATAAATAGTCTTCAGTACAGGCTACCTGTTTGTTAAACAAACCTTAGTTCTATATCACAGCTCCCTTTCCAGTTTACTTTTAATGCTAAAAATGAGTCAAGATATTTATGCACAAGGTTTATGAGTAGAAAAAACACCTTTTATTGGTCCAAGTAGAGCCATTAAGAAAAAAAAACCAAAAAACAGCATTTTCTAGGATACAAACTTTCCTTCTTGCCTTTATCAGAAATGTTGTTACTTAAACTGTCAATAGAATCACTGTAAAGTTACTTATGCTTCATAGTGACAGCTGTAATAACTCTAAGTTTTTATATGTATTATAAGAATTATAAATTATGAGGAAAAAACCCAAGAAATATTATTTCACTTCAGTTAGTTTTTAAATTTTTTTTTAGATGATCTAAGATTTTTAAAATGAATGAAAAGGTCTACAGTTCATGGTAAATGGAAATAACGAAATAACGACAATTTTCCTGACCTGTTTCTGGTTCCACAGAGAAATATGGCTGTCCCTGAAGTATGCTGTAAATTACTCTTGCACTGTTTCCATATGAAGGGTCATCGGCATCAGTAGCTGTGACTTGCACCACAGAAGTACCTGGAACATCCATCAACTTAGTTTCACATGGTACTATGTGGACATCCAAGAACATCAATTTCCATTCAAGAAGACCCCAAAGAAAATTACAGCTAATGTCTACTGGGCTTTTCAAATATATTTATGATCTTATAATCAACTTCAGGTACATTCTTCCCTATTTCAGGATCTCATTCTACATAAATTGAATCTAAACTTCCGTAATCCCACAAACGTGATTAAGATCTAATTAGCAAAGGTAAACAACACCTATGGTTGAGCTGAATTTTTATCCTTACCCAGCTACAATCATTTCATACTTACACACTCACTTCCTCTTTTCAGAAGACTTATTTGGTTTTATTACAATAAATATCTGCTTTCCATTACTTAGAACAGATTTTTTTTTTTGTCCAGGATGTCAATGTGATATGAAATTACACATACAGGAACATGACAGAAAAAGATGATTAAATAGGTCATTGGAACTTGGGAAAAACTAGTCATCAGAGTGTAGATGCACTTGAGCCGGGCTATCGATTTCGCCCCCAACGTTGCCATGCTGCCTCTGGGCTCTTCACTAATGGGCCCTTTTATATCCCCTTCCCCCTTCAAACCTAGTTTAAAGCCCCCTCAATGAGTCCCGCCAACTCATGGGCGAGGATCCTTTTCCCCTTTGGAGAGAGCTGATCTCCATCAGCCGCCAGCAGGCCCGGTGCCGTGTAAACCTCCCCGTGATCAAAAAACCCAAAATTCCACTGATGGCACCAGCCTCTGAGCCACCTGTTACTCAGGTGAGTTTTCCCATTCCTTTCAGCACTCTTAGAATTATATATGTCTATATAATTCTTCTGTTAAAAGATACAGAGACCTTTTTGTTGAATATATTTAAGTTCTCAGGAGTATTGCCTTGATTCTGAAATGCACTTTTTGGACCATCCTAGTATGTAGCAAACTGCAGTACTAGAATGTATACTTGCTTCTAAAGAATATTTGCTCTGAAATAGCAAAAAGGTATTGTGTAAAAGAAAGAGAAGAACAAATCATGTTCAGTAACTTAAGGGCTGTGAGTTAAAAAAAAAAAAAGCAATAGAAAAAAAACCCAAACCACCAAGTACACTGATCATCATGGCATTATCCAAATAAAATTTACAAATACTCCATTTTAAAAGAGAACAGTCATCATTGAGGCATCTATCACAACAGCACAGTGTATTAACCAGAAAAGTGTACATTGCAAACCTGTGAAAGGTGGTATTTTGTCTCTATTACATGTAACTGAATTATTTCTTGTTTCTAATTTTCACATTTCCTTCATATGTTCAAACTAGCAGTATTTATTAATAGGTCAATTGTATGAGATTTTTACTTCATTTTAGTTTAAAAAATAATGCAGAATCAACTTTGAGGGATAATTTAGAAGAAAACTGAAGAATGTGTTTAATAGCTTTAAAATAAATTTAAAAAAATTCCATTTGCGATCTAATAGTGTGTCTTAATAGTTACGGCTTCCTCAGTTGTAAGTGTCATAATGCACATATAACATATTAATTAATGCTATGTTAATACACATACACATGAAACAGAACAAATCATATCAGCTATTCTTCTCTCTAGCTGCAATGAACATGGTGCAAGGGCACTGCTACGCTTCTGCCTGCCGTTCAGGATGCAGAAGTCACCACTTTGATCTTGGCTCTCACTCGTAAGAGGAAGAGAGGTATGTTCTCTAGGATTCTGCCAAGGGATCAGTGATTCCTATGAAAAACCTGACAGAAACTATGCAAAGCAGCAAACTGGAGGAGTATATTAGGGTATCAGTGTATCAGTTGTGCACATCAACTTTCAAACCATCAGCTTGTCTTGCTTTGCTTCAGTTCACTGAAGTCAATGAAGACCGCTGATGCTCAATACTACAGATATATTGTTTGCTCTGGTCTGAAACCTGGACCAGAAATCCCGAGGCACTGAAGATAACCAGTTGTGCTGGGGTTTAAAAATTAGACCGTGGGTGTGACTTAGTCAGCACTATTGGGCTGGGCCTCACTCTGCCTTTTACATAGGCACAAATTGCTTCCGATGCACTTGGCAAGAGTCTTTGGTCTTCAGGATCTAAAGCCTAATCTGAACTCTATTGGAGGACATAAAGGAGACAGTGATAATATACTGGAGAATATGGCACTAGCTATGTTATTAATCAGACATACGATTTTCTCCTTGTATACTTACAAATTTTATTTTATGATAAACCAGAATTATACAGCAGTGAGCTGGGCCCAGAAATAAATTGTCATTTGTCAGATTATTGTAGTTCTCAGAAGGCATATTTTAACATAATTTTAATTATAATGTTTGAATCTCCCTAGGGTTTGGTACTATAATAGTAATTAATATATTTGGCCCTTTTTAATGTGTTCCTTGTAAGCATCCTCAAACACCATACAAGTATTAATGACTTTGACCTCACAATGCATTTATGATGTAGATGTATTAGATAAGAATCACTGAAGATAATTAGCTAGGAAAAGGAACCCATAGAATATCCATTGTAGAGCTGAATTTGAAACTTACGGTTCCTTTTCCTTACTCCCAAGTGAGTTAAGTGATATTTAACTACAGCAAGTACCCTCCCTAGTAAATTATCCATACAAATAGCAAGTCAAATTAATAGAAATTTTCTGCTCTTTCTAGCGGAAAAGAGAGGAAATAATGACACATGTTCTCCCCTGAAATAAACTATTTAATGAAGCAGAATAATAGAGAAGAAGTGGAAAGGGCTGCATATTCAGCGAAGTCGATGTCAGAAAGGTCTTTGGCTACATGGTACTAACTTGGAGAATAATAACCTGGAAATAAGCACGTCAGTGGATATTTCCAATTCTTTTAAGATGTCCCTTTTAAAGCAAAAAAAAAGTTTAATCTTGGGGGTTTTTTGGTTTTGTTACTTTTTTTTTTCCCCCCTTTTTGTCCCCTCTCCTTATGGCAGGATTTGTGTGCAGAGTGAAACTAGAGTGTGTAAAAAATCTAAAAATGTATTATTTCAGTTTTCAAAATCTGTCATTATTAATATTATGAAATTGTAAGTCAGAAGATGCAAAAGAGTTTGGTGAGACAAGTATAAAAAAAAAAGATTTAAAAAAAATCTTTGTTTATAGGAGACAAGAAAGATGTGTTATAAGATAAATGCTATGGCAGAGAGGACTAAGCATTGTGAATTGGTGGAAGAGCACTAATGAGGGAGTGTACAAAAAGCCTAGGGAGAAAACCAAGCAATAGTAGCTTTAAATGCTGTCTGAAGAGAAAGACAAAAAGGTAACAGAGATGACAGGCTAACTGTGGGACACCCAACCTGTAGTTCACATGTAAACACAGAAAGAGGTTACATCTTATGAAACATATATTGATATCCCTAATTCAGAAGCAGAAAAGACCAGCTAGGAAACATGACAGACAGTAGAAATAGCGCTGAAGTTACAGGATGGAATAAAGATAAGGAATGATTAGAGAATATATAGGCTACAACAGGTGACTAGAGAAATACAACAAATAAAAAGATGTGAGGATAAAAAAAGAAGTTCTAAATAGCAGAAAGTTCTGAAAACTTGTCTAAAAGATAGCAGTAGGCAAAATCCACAGGAAAAGCTGTATAAAGGAAAACAGACTCATCTGCAGCTCTGAAAAGAAACCTTTGAATGAGCAGAAAGATAGATAAATAGATGAAGAATATGATGGACAGAACAGAAGATTGTAGTCAAAACTATAAGAATATTTTGAGTCATAAACTTTGAAAGTAAGGAAAGGAAAAAAGTGAAAGAAGAGAAAATATCTGGTAATCAGTACAAACACTTCAGGAGAACAAGATGTCTTCTAGGATATTGACCCAACTGTAAGACCCTGAATTGGCACATTTATCTCTGCCTTTACTATGATTAATGAGCAGCAGAAGAAAGATGAACAAGACAACAAAGAATTTATGGGCTTTTGTCAAGACACTGTATTTGATAATAGAAATAGCCACATTCTCAGATATCCATCTGGCTAATACCACAGCCTGAGGAAGAAATCAAAACTGCTGTTTCTGGTCTGAAAGCAGCTGGTGTATGGCTACATCATGATTTGATACCTTAAGGATGCAGTCAGAGGGAGTAGATAAAGACTTAATAGTCTTTTTCTTACCTCCTGGCCCCCTTTGTAGGACCTTATAGTACAGGGCATTTTAGGATGGAGCAAACCCCACACTCCAAAGGGTGCACAGATTTCAGTTATTTCAAGCTGATGCTTCTTGCACATTTTTGCTACTTGTGCAGTTCTTTTGATGCTTTTGGTGAAGAAAGCAGGACATTAGACAATAACAGCCTTCATTTATGAACTAGTAAAGAAATATTGGTGACTAAAAGTTTACCCATTTACTCAGTTCAATAACACACATACGGTGCTATACTGATGAAATGAATGATATATGCAATCTTGCTGAAAACTTAAAATGTATTAAGAGAAACCCAATAGCTCTGAACTCTGTCTGCTATCTACATTATACAGTGTAGTTCTACAAGTGATGAGGCAGATGAGTAAACTTACATAGTGTGGTATGCTACCATGTCTCTCTTCTTTCTGGTACTCAGACAGGTGCATATAGAGTTAATATGAACATCTCATCACTGTGGCTGCTGTACAGATGTGTACAAATAGACAACACAGTTGCAAAACTGCAGAATAATTCACTATTTTTGTGACACTTCTTAAAACAGAGATAAGATTAAGCCCATCCATTTGAAACAGAGATATTCAGTACTGGGATTGAGAGTGCAGGTGCCAGATGATAGCAGAGGTCTTTAGAATGCAGTCCCAGAATAACATACCAGAGGGCCCAAAGGCATAAATACAAGGTGGAAGTTACTGGTCATATTACAGACTGACTTGGATTTAAAGTATAACAAAGAAAAAAAAAAAAGAACAAATATCTAACATCTGTAGAACATCCCTTGTATGGTGAAAATACAGAGAAGATAACTAGAGGACATAAAAGATGATGAC